ATATATATATATATATATATATATATACATACAAAAGAAAATATAAGATATTCTCTTTTAGTACGCTGATTTATGCCAACTTCTATATACCTATGCATGCATCATGTTTTATCGTTCTATCCAATTACAGAGAAAAACAAGCGGAAGTAACTGTCGACCTACTGCCAGTATGGAAAGTAAGGGGTTAATAGTTGCCCCGTTTCCCTCGTTCGCGCACATCTCATCCCCTGTCGACTATTAATTTGCCTTTCAATGCAGTACCGGTGATTATCGATTTGATCGGTCGAAACCACCCCGGCAGAGAATTTTTGCTTGCTTCTAAAGTTTATCGGACCGCGCGTTTCCACTAGTTTTAATAGAACCGTCGAATGAGCAGTTCGTTTGTGCAACAAATCATTCCCGGTCGTTTGCCTTTCGATTTGACGTTGACCTAATCGAATTTTCTACGCGATCGTACGATTTATCAACGCTCTGTATAATACGATCGTTCACTATAATTTGCAATCAACATTTCTTTGACAAGACTAACAGTGACTTAATGAAGTTGATACTATACACTATATAAAAACATTTTAGTGGATTAAACGTTAAAAATCTAAATTGTTAATAAAATCGTAGTCTACTTAATTTTGAATAAATGTGACTACGATAAAAAAATTAATGAAGCTTTCATTGTATGTGTGTGTGTGTGTGTCATGCAAAGTCTGAAAATAAATGACTATTCTACTAATAATTCTCTCTCTCTCTCTCCCTCTCTCTCTCTCTCTCTCTCGGACTTTATAAATACATTTTAAATCATTCATATCACATGATAATTTTTTCCTTTTGTATTATTCATGAGTATTTATATTCGTTTCATTTCATTCGTTAAAGGAAGAACTAAACTTGTTGCATTCAAAACGATAGGAAAAAAATTGGATCAATAAGAAAAACTATATATAAATCAGATTAAAAGATAAATTTAGTACGATATATGCGAAAATTTATATACTAATATTTCAAGAGTGTTAATAAACTTGTCACGTCAAACAATGTATAGCAATTATCATATTTGCAGAACTAATTAAATTAACATAGTTCGTATAAACGATTTTTGCAACCTATATTGATCTATTGTTATACAACGAGGGAACTATATGCATCACGTTATATGGAAGTAGTAATTTAACACATAATATTGACACGAGCCAATATTATATGTACCTCGCGTATTGTTTTTATTACACTTATCACGCTTCTTAGAATTTCGTACTTAATGGCCGTGGCTAATTAATTATATGATTACACAAATTAATCATGGCATAAATCCGGATATGTGCATCGCTCTGTGCAACGATGGTCGGTTTATCGATTAGAGCTTTGCACCGGCATACATCCTATTGAAAACAAATTAACCAATTCATAAATAAGAATAATTTATACAAGCGAAAGAGTTATTCAAAATATTGCGAATGAAAATTAGCGACTAATAATAGCTGACTTTGTTGACTGTAATAAATAATCTAAAGAGAATGTTCTCGATATTGAATATGTCGTCAATAATTGTTTAATTATCAGACACTACTAATTCAATTATCTTATTTGATAATCTCTCGTTGCACTCTCAGTGATTGTAACTGATGAAATACTCTAATGTGGAAAATACACTATATGTGCACACATGTTCTTCTAAGGTTGTCAGGTGCATTACACCATTCCAGAGCAATATTTCTTCCCACGATCTTATCCGCAGAACAATAACTAATCTCACGAAATTCTCACACGCACGTAGAAATGTTCTTTCTATCGTTACTGTTGTCTATCAAAACGTGTGGAACAAGAATAGGAATCTAAACAAAGTATACTCGAAAATATCAAGTCAAATTGATCTGATAACACAGGCCTGTGAGAATTGATCCACTGAGATGTAGAAGCAATTTTCGACGTAATTTTTTTGCACTGAATCTGAATTTGATCATAAAATTTATCTAGCAAATCATGATTTTGAAATTCCCTAACCTAAAAGTTCAAAAAAGGTCGTTTTGGACGTTTTCAAATTACGATAACTTTAAAACTTGAGGATATCCGTTGATTTGACCAATAGATTCGGATTCCTTACGAAAAAAAATCTACAAAAGTGCATATGTGTGTTTTCCAAAAAGGTTAAATATTTATAACTGCAAGAATAAATTATATTAACAAATTCTATGTTTTTTAGGTAAGCACCGAACGCTTCATAGGGCCGATTTTTTTTATATTTTATATCAAAGGGTTTTTTGGTCGCTAATTAAGAAAAGATAGAAATTTAAAATTTAAAATGGCGGATGCAATATAGCGAAGAAGACGATAATTTTCGTTCTTGGCCATATTGCATCCGACATTTTAAATATTAAAATTCTAACTTTAAATTCGTTATAAGCGACTCAAAAAACCCTTTAATACAAAATATCAGAAAAATTAGTCCTATAAAGCATTTAGTCACTCACCTACTAAACAATATAAAACTTGTTAATATGATTTATTCTCGCAGTTATAAATATTTAATCTTTTTGGAAAACATACCTACATATGCGCACTTCTATATTGTTTTATGAGAAATCCAAATCTATTGACTAAATTTCGGACTAAATCAATGAATATACTCACGTTAATCTAAAAATTCCAAAAAACGACACCTTTTGCACCTTTAAGTTAGAATATCTCAAAATTTTAACGCGCTGGACAAATTCTGTGGCCAGATTCGGAGTTAACATAAAAATTTACGTCAGAAACCACTTTTATACCTCATTGGACTTTCCAAAGTCTTATTTTTGCATTCCTACGTAATTGGAAGTAAATTTTTTATGAATTTAAGAATTGAACGATTTAAAATAATATATCTAATAGCATAATATTGAATTAATCCATCTTTTTAAATTTTCAAAAGGTATAAGAAAGTAATCTATGTTTTATTTAATATATTTCATCGTAGTACTCGTTTCTAATTCGACATATTAATATGTTGCACATTAGACGTAAAGATATATTATATATGCAGTTTGTGGTGTTTCTACCTGTATACATATATTATAGAATGAATGAGAATATTTCAATATCTGTTTAATAGCACTGAGATAGAAGAAATTAAATTTGTAAAAATAATTATTGGTATAATGCATTTCTATGATTTTCGAAATTTCTAGATATCCCGAATTTTTAAATTGATAAGAGCTTTCATGGAATACACAAAATTCTCGAATTCTGGCGAACGGAGAAGCAGACAACTCGTGAGAAATCGGTATTCACAATAAGTAGTCACGAAGGATTTCTCGGGCTGAAGTCGTGACCGTCTGTTCCTGATGATATATCCCATGGGATCGTCGGGAACTTGCCAATCACTATTCGGGGATTTACGCCATCCCCGAAGTGACCTCGCGGTAGCTCATACAGAATCGTCCTAAGCCATGACATCGCTCGGCTGTAGTGCATCCTTCGGCCAAAGGTCCGTGATCGCACTCGCCGCAACGGATTTACATAATACGAGGATGAGAATGAGGAAAAGAGAGAGCGATAGAGAGGGGGGGAGGGAAGAAGAGAGAGAGAAAATCGTAATTCCTTAGCATACACTTCACATGGTACATAGTGCACAAGCACATGTCTTGAAATATCAAGATATGTCGTACCAGTCGTGATTACAAAGCCCTCAAATATTTCAATATTTGTAAATCAAATAAATCTAAGTAGGAATGAATTCGATAATGAAAAATAATTTAATGGCGCGTAATTTATAATTAATGTATACAACTATACATCCCGGCTAAAACACAGTAGAAACACTGGCGATTTTTTTGCGTTTCGCGATAAATTAAATATCTCGGTGAAAAAAGATCATACAGAAATTCTCGACCACTCATTTTAAAGCACAAAAATAGGCCTTTAAATATTGATTTGAATTTTTCTGTGATATTTTTTTCCTAAGTTATATAAAATTAAAAATCGATTTTTTGTAATATTTTTGTCTTTGAAGCGCTACAGTTTGATGAAACATCATTGGACAAAATTTAATATAAAAGTATTTTAAAGTAAGTTTTCTAAGTCTTAAAATGTTTTTTGAAAAAATTTGGTATGGTTTTTTGCAAAAATATCGAATTTTTTATTGTGTAAAAACTTTCTTTAAAAT